CAAAAGTTTAAGAGATGTCAGGTATAAGATTGTCCATTTCTATACTATTTGGTCTAGACTTCATATCCTTCTCACCAAATAGTTTCTGTAGGAATTGCAGATGTTCAATGGGTCTGAAAATCTTGTCTTTATTATTCAAATTGCTGAATGTTGGATATTTGGGGGGAGAAGAATTGTATAGCTAGGTTCTATATTTTTCCTAATTTATTAATTATGTTCATTTTAAAAATGTAAAAATTATGTTTTATTGTTAAAAAAAAAGAACAAAACCAAAACAACACACACACACAAGAAAAACTAAAACCCAACAACCAGTAATACTACATGTAAGAGTTCTAGAAAGGATTGTGCCTTAATCTGAAATAATTTAAGAGAACAGATCACATAGAATTCTGCCTTTTTCACTTGACATTAAAGGACACATCTAGATATGAATGAAAAATAACGTAACTACCCAGAGAGAAAAATAACGTAACTACCCAGAGAAGTGAATAAAATCAAACTTTTACGCATGAAAGATGCGTTTGATCTTATTGTCTGAGTAGACATACATTTTTTATTAATATATGCACATATAGACTTTTAATTTCAAGATTACTTTATAATTGAAGAAGCTAGGCTATGCTCTGCACATTTAAAAACCATTCTAAAAGACAGAATATATTCAGAGTATTCTAATTACATTTAGTTTGCATAGTAGTCTGAGTTTTCTTTCTTTTTAACAGCTTTTCCACTTGAAATCTCAGTCAGTACTGAATTTCCACAGATTATTTTTTTCTTTAGTCTGTATCCCTTTAAGCATTGCTGCACTGTACTACAGTAATTTCTTCTCTGGCTTTCCCCTGATAGCTACACAGTGTCAGCTATTATTTTCAGCAGATGGATGGAGGCAGATGTTTCCATCAATCCAGATTTTTGCCATTCCAATGTGTTTTCCTGGATATCTTTCTATCAGTTTACCTTTATTTTTGGCTGCTGAAATTCACAGTTGTCTTTCCTGGTAATCCAGGAAAATACACTCTGTTTTCTTTGGTGATACTACTACCCTTTTTGTTTATGCAGGACTGTAGCTACCTACAGTTTTTCTTTTGATTGTACATCCATAACCATGTCCAAATAATTTCCCTTGTCATCTTCCTCCCAATCTTTTCTGTATCTCTTTCATTTTATCAAAAATATAACTGCTAATGTTTTTGATTTCCTAATCGTCCCCATCACTGTCCCTCTACATTATCTGCTTTTTAACCATGATATCAAATTCAGTAGTCTTTTTCCATTTTCAGTATAATTCACCACTGCTTCATTGCTTCAGCCACCTTTCTTCTGGTATCTTACTCTTTTTTTTTTTTTTTTTTTCTTTCCTTTTGCATAGCATCTTTGTACTTACAGATCTTTTATCTGTGCTCTTTCATAGCACTGCAATCACATCATTCAGATTCCTTTTCATGTTTAGCTGCTGCTATGATGCCTGCAAGGCAACAGGCGGTGAATCCTTATTAATTTATAGGGCTCTGTGTTTAGGCACTGTGTTTAACCACTACTTTCCTCTTCCCCTCCCTGCCTCATGTTTCCTGCAGTGCTTGCCTCTTCAGACTGTGAGCTTTTGGAGACAGAATCTGGGTTTAAGTGTGCACTCCAAAACCAGGCAGAATATCTCATCTAACAGCAGAACTTTTGGAAAACTTGAATATTATTGATAATAATGGATTTCCTGGCTCACCAACTATTTTGTTGTTCCTGCTATAAAGTACTGAAATAGATATTTGGGTTTTTTTATTATTAAGGAAAACAGGAAAAACACCATGCAAAATTGAAATACAAAATGTTATTTATTAATGTTTTAATCAATTCAGATTAAACACTTTAGTTTACATTGCACTGTGCTTGTGGATGTGAGTTCAAGTATATGACCCTAAGGAAAAATCTTGCATTTTAATTAGCAGGGTCCTTTGCTGCCTTCTAACTGCCCACTTTGTGAGAAGCATGACAAATTGTTGGAGGATCTAGCAGAACTCTGTTCTCAACTCACTTAATGGGAGTTTTAATTCCTGAATTGCAGTATCACACTCTCCTACTTCTTGTCTCCAGACCAATGAATTTTGAATTCTGTGATCTTAAGTAGAAATTCTTGGTGTTTTCTCCACTTTCACATCTTTCATGTAGCAATACTACCCATAGATTTGCAGGCTTTTGTAATATTAAAGGTATGGATTTGATCCAAGTCTCGTGCAAACAGGTTTTATTTCATCTAGGCTGAGTGAGTTGTAAGATTTAGTTACTGTCTTCCAGAAGAAATGTTATTTCCAATTGAAATGGTCCGCAGCTTGGCTTCAAACCTGTCCTTGCTGTAGCTTAAAGATCTTCCGAGCTAGTATTGCAAATCCTGTTCTAGGTCCCCAGTTCTTATCATGTATGGCACAGGGGGCTGGCTATCATGCAGGTTGCTAACCTTGGTTTTGCATGCTTATTTGTCAGCAATTTGTATAAAATTCCCTATCTACTTGTTCCTTGGGGGAAAAAAAAGGAAAGTCTTGATGCTGTGCAAGCACAATTCAGCAATATGCAAAGCATCAATGTATTATGAGCACTGTTTTAGCCAAAAATCCAAAGCGCAGCACCATACAGGCTGCTTTGAAGAAAGCTATCTCCACCCCAGCCAGTCCCAGTACGTGAACTTGCATTTACTTATTGTAAGAAAGTACTGAAATAGTTCATTCAAGTCTATTTTTGCACTTGAATAAAATCAAATCACACCAAAATGGTAATCTGAGTATTCATTGCCTGGAAAGCCTTAAGTAATTTCGGAAGTTTATTAGCAGAAGAAGATTAGCAGAAGGAATGCCTAAAATGAATTATACTAATAATTTTACATCAAAATCATATCTACAGGAAGATACAAGTATGTTTTAAGACAGAATTCCTCTGTGGTTCTGTTTTAAACTATTTATATTAATTTTCATCTTTCCAGGGGAGCCCAAAGTTAAACTGATCTTCAGGGTCATAAGTGCATTAAATGAGCAGAAGGCTGGACCTTCCTCTGGTTAATCTTTTCAATCCTAATAACTTTTTAACCAAGTTATGTTACTTTTGAAAACCCTTGAATTTTTCTCTGTAACAGCATGATTCTGACTCAATGAATCATAGAATCATTATGGTTGGAAGAGACCTCAAAGATCATCAAGTCCAACCGTAAACGAGAAACTCTTCTTATTCCAACCCTCTTTAAACTGGTTGGGGGGTTATTGGTGAAGAAAGCATACTGGGCAGTGATTCTTTGAATGGGGAGAACCTCATCAAGCATGTTGTAGTATATGTCTGACTATTTTCTTTATTTTACTATTCATTCTTATTTCATATCAGACATTACACACTTCAGGAAGTTACTTTCAGGAAGATTATTGCATTTATCAAGCAATTAAGGTCACGGTCACCCTATTTCAGTTTTATATCTTATGCCACCACTTGTGGCTTACGCTCCAGAATGTAGTGTCTGTCTTCTCATATTGAATAACGTAATTTTACTGAAACTAGAGTGCTCCTGTCTGACCAGAGTCCGTCTGCATTCAAAGTGTTGGACTCTGGTAGGTGGGTAGCTCACTGCTGAGGAACTAAAGAACGAGGGCTTAGAAACATCACTCAGAAAAGGGGAAGCCCTTATGGATGCAGTAGGCTCTATCATTAGTTTGTTTCTGAGACTCTGGCAGTTTAAACTTGCTATACAACTTCTCACTGCTGAAAATAAACATAGAAAATATAAGAAGTACCAAAAATTAGTGAACAAATTAATTTCTGTGCTTCATTTCCCTTTCAGTAACATAAGAACATTATCACTTGATGTACAGCCACTGAAAGTACTTTGGAAATTGATGAATAATTGTGAAGAACTGTGTAACTTCAGTAATAAACGCTTATGAGAACAGAAGCCAAGAGGGAAGCTGACAATACTGTCTTCATAGCAGGGTTTTAACAGAGTACAATAAATGTGGAGCAAAGAAAATAATGAGGTGAAAGCAAAATAGTGAGTAGCTGCCGATTAAGAGTAGTGCCAACCATGTGTGGAATTAGCTGGGATTCAGGAGGGTAAATATAACGTATAATTATAGACTTTATCATACACATACATGCAAGATGGAACAGATGGAATTTTCCTAGGCAACCTTAATTTCAGCTTTTCCAGTTTTCTGGGAGTTTGACTTTGTACCTTTTCACTTTTCACTTTTTTCCTTTTTTTTTTTTTTTTTTTCAGTTTTGTTGTGAATATTACTTTGAGCCTGTCAGTTGCAAAAATTCCACAGAAGCAGATAAAACAAACTGAATTTGCCTTTTCAGTTAGAAAGTGTGTTTGTATCCAAATCAATAAATCAGTACCTAATTCTTGTTGAGTATTTATTCACCCCCCAAAATACAGCATGGTGGTTCTCTTTTCTCAGGTTATTCTTTCCTTTTCTGATTTTATATGCTTTTACTGTAACATATATAGAAAAATGGGATTGCTGAAATTAAGAATTAGTGGATATTAATGCAGACTGCAAATTCAAAAGCAAAATCTAATTTCTTTTTCTTCCTTTTCAAAAATAAACACCACTGTCTCATGTTGTGTTCTTTGTTAGAAAGCCTACAAATGCCTGATGTTTTATATGTGAGGTGATTTGTATAGACATCTCATGACTTGATTTAAGAAAAATATTTTAAAATATAACCACTTCTTTAAGAAGTATTATTTGATAATTCAGCTGTCATAGTGTACTGGTTTTGACTGGGATAGAGTTAATTTTCTTCATAGTGACTGATATGGGGCTGTGTTTTGGATTTGTGCTGGAAAACAGTCTTGGTAATTCAGGGATGCTTTGATTACTGCTGAGCAGAGCTTACACAGAGCCAAGGCCTTTTCTGCTCCTCACCCCACCCCACCAGCAAGGAGGCTGGGGGTGCACAAGGAGTTGGGAGGGGACGCAGCTGACCCCAACTGACCCAAGGGATATCCCATACCATATAGCGTCATGTTCAGCGTATACGGCTGGGGGAAGAAGGAGGAAGTGGAGGACGTTCAGAGTGATGGCGTTTGTCTCCCTAAGTAACCATTGAGCATGATGGAGCCCTGCTTTCCTGGGCATGACTGAACACCTGCCTGCCCATGGGAAGCAGTGAATGAATTCCTTGCTTTGCTTTGCTGGCGTGTGCATGGCTTTTGCTTTACCTATTAAACTGTGTTTACCTCAACCCATGAATTTTCTTACTTTTACCCTTCTGATTCTCTCCCCCATACTGTTAGAGATGGAGTGAGCAAGTGGCTGTGTGGGGTTTAGTTGCTGGTCGGGGTTAAACCCCGATACATAGTTTGAATACAAATAGCACTTTTTCTAACAAAAAGGCCATTCTTGGCTTTAGGTAATCAGTTACAAGTTTTTGATAAACAGTATATGGACAACTACAGAATCTGTAAATTTCTCTTGATCCCATGTTACTTTAACAAGTATATTCTGTATCATAGGTAGCCTTAGCAGTAGGTTTTGTTATTCCGTATTTTCTCTGCTTTGGAAATAAGTAACATTGATTTTCTGACTCTGGCAGTTTTTGGTTTTGTAGTCATAGGCATCTAGGCTTCTAGTCCTGTAAGTGACATGTGAAGGCATGATTCCCAATAGTAAATTCTCTGCAAATCTGTCATAGTGTGGAAAGCTATCTATGACTATATCCTTGTTGTGTTTGGGAAATGATACTAGCTGAATTACATTGTATAAAATGTAGTTGTTTTCGTTGTCTTAAAGTATTAACATTTTCACAATCTTACTTCAGATGTGGATGCAGTGGTGTCAATCAAATAACTGCTATATTAGCATTGTTGTAGAAAGGGAATAGCTATAGTGGTATATTGGCCACACTATCTTTAGATAAGTATAATGTTGTTTAAATCAGTGTCCTCTTCCAGCTTCAGCTATAACAGTTGGGAACACTGTTATCCAACTGCTTAAGATTGCCCAGCAAGTGGAGGTTACTTATTTCACAATTCACCCAACAGAGCACAAATGCAAATTCTCATGGTTCTACTACATTAGAGTCAGCAATAGCTTCAAAACATTTAATCAACTATTAGGTTAAAGTTGGCAATTTTTCACTTAGGTGGATGAAGTTAAATTTCACTGTCTGTACAGTGAAGAATTGTCTTCTGTCAGGAATACAGTAACAAGCATCCAGGGATAAAAAGTCTTGAATTTCTATCAGTGTGCAAAATGATCCTGTCTCTTAAGTATCGAGCAGGTTTCGTTGTTTTTCCTGTAAGAATACAGATGAAGCCTTATTATGCCTCTTTACTATGCTTATATTTTATTGAACATTGAATCATTTGGGTTGCTTGTTTCTTCCAGACTTTTATGATGGCCCCTTTCATATTTCTATTCAGATAAAATAAAGCAAACAATCAAAAATAACCCTCAGCATTTTTGAAGTTCCTCTTTTCACCAGGAACATGCTCTTAATAATGATGAGCAGCTAGTAATAAAAACCGCTTTTTCTTTCTTCCTACAGGATATTTTCCTATGTATTTTAATTGCTGGGAAAAGCAAAACCGGTTGATTCAAGGCATAACAATGATATAATATTTTTTTTCTAATATTTCACTACATAGAAATAATAGATTGCTTTACCAAATGTTATATATATATTCAGAGATAATTGACTAATTGTTTTACTTAGCAGTTGCAATTCAAGATCTAGCTTCACCTCTACAGTAAAGGAATAACTATGATCTACATTTGTACCCATGCATTTGCTGCAGCCAAGGAGTAATGTATGCAGTTCACCATCAGGCTGCACAGTTCAATACTCAATCCTAGGTGACGCTTTGCCTATAATTCCCCTCCATCTAGCTCCGGTCCAACATCATCAGGAGAGCTGGGGACAGTGGGACAGCACTCATTATTTTTAGGTACTAGGCCAGCTACCATGTTCTTTCTAGCTTGTTCTGGGTAAGGTTATTTCCTGAAGTGAATATGTATATATTATTGATTGTAGGATGGAATGGGAAATTTGAGAGTCACTAAAAAAGGAATACGACTTGAAGGAATATCTGAATTTCTACTTCCACTATACGTGAAAGAAATCCATTCCCGAAAGGTAGGTGGTTTTCATCTTTTTTTCTTAATTTACAGCTAATATAAATTAATTTCTTCAGTCTCAAACTACAAAGTTTAATTCTTACACCTCCTAAATTAGCAATCAGTAGAGGTTTGCTTTGAGAATACCTTAACAGTGAAAGCTTCCTTCATGTCAAAAAAAATTTTTTTTTCTGAAACCTTACTTGCTTCTTAAAAGAAATGCCTTACCCTAAAGAAAGGAGATTCAAAGCATGTATATTTTATACTTCAAATGACCTCAGTACTGGGAATGGAACATTTGACTCTTCATTTGATGTCAACTCCAGAAAAACAAGATTGGTGATAAGTGCAAAATGCAGTGAAACAAGGAATGGTTTTATATAAGCTTAAGTTGTTTCTGGTATTTGCTAATGTGATTTCTTTTTTTTTTTTCTTGCCTCTTTTTTTTTTTCCCCCCCTCATTTGATACAGGCAATCTTGCTAAACTGCGTAATGTCTCTAGGATTTAATTTTTCAAAGCAAACTATTTTTAATGTTGCATAAATCTAATTGTTTTATCATATAGCAGCAAGTTGTTACAGAGAAAAAAGAAAATCAAGATGATATGTATTCAGAAATTCAGTGGAGCTCATTTTAACTCATTTGTTTTGATTTAGTCATGCTGTTTATATTAACGTATTCAATGAATTAAAAAAATAATTTTGAGATACTGGAAATCTCTTAAGTTCTTTTTGCCATGCAAGTGATAACCGATGATCAGAGAGAAATGTTACAGGAGTTTTCAGTCAGTTGTCTGCGAAGAATTTTAATATACATACTGCAGAAGTTGACAGGAATGAAGAGTATTTTTACCCTAAATGCCTTTGTGGAAAATTCTGTCTGTTGAAATCTGTCTTCTACATATATAAAGAAAGTCTCAAGTACGTTCATAGATGAGATCATGACAGTTTCCCATTTCTCTTAATTAGTTCACTCTTGTGTTAACAAATGTGTGAGGCAGTCTCTTTGTCCTCTTTGTCTGTAAAACTAGGATCTTTCAATGTTTAACAATATTGTCCTATGGAATGAAAAATCTATAATATTTAAGTAACAGTATATTCCCCAACAATGTTTAATTTTGATCACTTTGTTGAACAGATATTCTTTTACTTTTCAACTCACCATACATACAATTTGTTACAAAATCTTGTTCATAATGTTTGTTTTATAATAGCATCTAAAAATATTAATAACTAGCTAAGATAAATCTATAATCAAACATTTGGTAATTAATTATTTCTAAATAAATGCAAATATCATAGCTTTGATATTGATCAGAATTTTGAAGGGGGGAAAAACAATGGAACAGTCAACACATAAGTATATAAATGACCATTTAAGTACCAAACACTGCTACCAAGAGCAAATCGACAAGGCCAGATTCTGCCTTCTAAAACTGGAAAGGCATCTACAAAAGGGAACTTTTGCTGTGGGTTTATTTTTTCCTATACCACCGTGCCATGGAAAGGTATGACCACCTCTAAAGTAGTTTCTGTAATCTTCTAATATATTCTTTACAATTTTGAAACTTGAGAATTCGTTAAATTAACTGGAATACTTCGTCTTTTATCTATATCTAAATATTTTAAGGGTGCTGTTAGACTTTAATATCTAGTACAACAAATCCATTTAAAATCATGCTGAAAGCATGAACCTTTTTAATATGAATAATGCAATATGTAGGCTTTATGAAATTAGTGTAAAATTTCCAGGCTGTGTAACCTTTCAGGGAGCATACTTTTTCTTAGAGGTTGGAGAACATCAGTCATGGTTTGTGCATTTTGGGTGGATGGTGTCTGTTGTTGCTTCTTGTCCTGTTACTGTACATGAGAGTTATGATTTGGGATATTTGCTTGCACAGGGCTTCATATTGCAGAACATTGGTTCTGTTAAAGTAAACATGGAAACTTTTGTTTCACATGAGAGTAATGACTCGAGCAGGGTCCTAATTTCACTCAGAGCTACTAACAAATTTTTGGGAAAAAAATGCACACAAGTGTAACTTCTGTAAAGGACCAGGATGTAAAGTCTACCAGTACTCTAACACAAGGTCACACTGGTCCTGTGAGGCTCATGAAAAAGAGATAGACCTATCAGTAAGTGCCTTCAAACCAGCAGAAGAAAAGAGATAGAGTTGATTGGACAAAGGATTTCAACTAAAATAGTTTTGGTGTTGCAGGTGTACTTATATCTATTAACATTAAAATACTTGTTACCTAGATGAAGTGGTATGTATGTAGACTTGGTGCTCATCTTGCAGCACTTGTGAACTACGTTCACGTTCCAGTCTTTTGCCAACATACTCAGTAGTTATTGTGCTAAAGTTTCAGTAACATGTTGTGTATGCAAATGTGAATGTCATGAGGGAACGATGAAAAAAACCTCTGGAGCCGTATTAAGCTTTACAGTAGGGATTTGTGATGTCTCTGCATGATGTTTCCCCAGGCATGTGGCATCTGCTTGTGACATTAGCTGTTTTGTCGCTTACAAAATTGACCTCTGTGCTGTAGAAATCTAAGAGTGAGCCAGGTTTTCTGAGCTCTTATTACAGTCTGTAGAGACCTAATCAATACAGACAGTGGTTTCTGAAGAGCTATCCTTCTCACCAGCCATTAGTGTTTACTTTGGGTGATACAGAGGGGAATGCTTTTCCCTGCCTTTTCCATGGAAGCAGTAATGATTTAAGGTTGATGTATACAGGAGTTTAAATGTACCATGGAATCAAAAACTCATTTGAAGCTGATGTCTTTGCAGTCTTTTACATGCTTGTGTTGCTTATTTATTTTCTAAAATGAGAGTTTGCTGTTTAAGCAAATTTACTCATTCCCCTCTAAAAGAGCACAGACATTAAAGTGACATCGTTTGATTATGTCTTGAGATGAGTAACATATTCTTGCAACATATTCAATAATACGTAACATATTTGATAATAACTTTGTGGAACCGCTGTATTTCCTCTGCACTGACAACATGGTTTGCAGAATGACCTCTGGGGACTTCCATGTAGGGGTCTTAGCTCTGCAAGTCAGGGCATCACTGCCTTCCCATTACTCAGCATAAGAGTTAAGTGGGAAAACCGATGATATTAGCAACAGGGTACAGCAGCAGGTGTGCTGTATTACAGCTAAGAGGCACGAGGGAGTTCTTACAGGAGCTGTCTAGTTATCTAGTTATCTAGATCTGGAGCTGATAAAACGTGTTCATTGATAGCACAGGGTTCACGTCTGATTCTGGTAGTGAACTACTGATAAGAGTCTGGGCAGTCTGTTGAGCAGGTAGGCTGAACTGAGCTCTCCACTGCTGCAATTTAAATGTGAGGGATGGCTAGGTTTGCTAGTGTAAAGTTCACATGTGCTTACAGATGCTGAAATCACCACTCTTGCCTGCAGCAAAACTGGATCCCCAATTAAGACCATTTATGCAGGGTTAAATGCAGACCTTAAACTGCCTTTGTCAAAAGATACTTATTGAACATTGTATATAGGTTGAAAATTTGCCTTTTATTTTGCGATTGCTTCATTAAACCCCTGAATACTAAGAGTAAATGCTAAAATACTTTACGTCAGTTGGAGAACAAATGTGCATGAATTCTTAAAAACAAGACAAAACTTATAGTGATATTTTCTCCTGCCAGAATACAATTTTCTATCAAAAAGTAGTAATGAAAAATCCAGGTCTTGGGTAAACTGAATGTTCATTCCTGTTCTGTCTGTAGAAGTTGAGTAAATGAGCAGGCTGCTCAGAGCGTACCATTTCCCTAACCTTGCTCCTCGTGCTTTGCCCTTTCTATTCTACTCAGTTAGCGATGTCCACAGAACCGTGAGTTCCTACCCAAAATCTTCTGTTTACACAAAAAAGATACTTCTGTATTTTCATCAAATAACTTAACTGCATGTCAGAACTTGAACTGATACATCAGAACCTGAGCAGAAAAGGGCTCATTTGATCCTGAATTGACATCTTTATGTCCCTGAAACAAGGGTACACGCTCTATGAATTGAATTTTACTGGGAAGTTCATTTTGACTATGGTTGGTCTAGTTATATATTTTTGATCAAATGACTAGTCTGAAACCAGTAAGTTTAATCTAGACAATGTTATATTTTCCTTATTTATATCTTTTGCATTGATATGATGTAAAGAAATGATGGAAACTACATTCTTTGTAGTGTATCATTAATGAGATGTATGAAATTGAACATAATCGAAACACATAATGCAATAACCTGAATTATTACAATCTTTCCATTTTTCTGAATTAAATTTCTTTATCAGGCTACTACTTCATCCATACTCCTGCATTTGTGAATGGAAACAATCAAGGTAGAGTTTTGTTAGTTTGTTATATAACAATAAAAGCAGTTCATGGTGTTTTCTTGAGAATGTATTCTTGGCTTTATTGGTCTTTTTCATTCACACATACAGTACTTGAGGGCTGAAGAAAATCAAGTTTTCTCTTTGTTAAATTGTTTCTATTGCCAATAAAATGTGTGACATCTCTTAAACAAGGGGGGATTGCTTGTTTTTTCTGTACAATTAGCAAGATTAAAAGTGTATTCTCTGAAATTAGAGAGCATGTATTTTCCAGAGATATCCTTAGAGAACACAGAATTTTAATGATTTGGATGAAAGTCATTAGGAAAAGGTCTAGAAAACAAGAAACACTGAATACATATAAACTTCTAACTGAACACAGGAAACTCTGAAAATTCTCTGTGTATCTTGTATTTTTAAATATGCAATTGTATGAAAACTAAGAAATTGTAGGTAGGTTTCAAAGCAGAGCTTCTTTCAGGTATTCCTTCTCTTCAGATTTTCACTCTGGAGACTGAAAATCCATATAAATATTTAGAGCACTTTACTTTGTTTTATTTCCAAACCTGAATCAGTCTTGACAAAAGCAATTCTATGATATTTTTCTTTCTTCACTGTCTAAGTGTGTATAATCATCAACATAGAATTAACCTTGTCAATTCCAAC